CCCCATGCACCCTTGATAATTTATAAATTATTATTATATCTTATATTACACTGCCTGGCGTCTCCCTTCACCTACCCCTCTGTTGTCCATCCCCCAGAGAGGAGGTTATATGTGAAAAAGAGGACAAAGGTAGTTCTAGTCTTTCATTTTTCCTAAATACAAACTGGTATTATTCTCTCTCTTTTTCTCCCACCTCCCTCAATGTCAATTCCCTTTGACTACCTAAAAGCAAGATTCCTCATCACTTCTAGATGGTCCCATCTGAGTAGCTGCCAACATGTCTTTATGGCTGTGTTTTCCTCCCACGTACAGCAAACCTCTTTGCTGTATGCCACATTGAACACCTCACAGCACTATGGTTAAAAAGAGGGAATTTTCTCATTTAAAGAAACTTTCTATTGTCCTCTTTTCATTTGAGTGTCCTTTTGAATATGCTTCCCACCAAAGCAAAATTAAGAAAGAGGTACAACCCGGAGTCCTGAAAAAGATCAACATGTAAAGTTTGGGCAAAGAATTATTAGGCTATGAAAGAATCTGTAAACACAGAAAGAAGGAAAATTAAGAAGCTATCATGTCATAAAAAAAACCGTAAGTGGTTCTTGAAGTCATAGAATTGTGAAAAAAACTACCATTGACTTTTTAAAATCAAATTCCTGTGTCGTTAAATTAAATATTGCTGTATTACTTATATAGCATAATGCTTAAATTTAGGAGAGCTCATTAAGAAACCCAAATAAACTGAAATTACAAAGACAAACTTCTGAGCCCGTGGTTGCAGCCGCTGTGACCCTCCCATTGATCTTTCTTTGATCCCCTTTCGATTTGCCAGGCATGACGTCCTTCTCCAGGGACTGGTCTCTCCTGATCATATGGCCAACGCATGTAAGGAGTCTTGCCGTCCTTTCCTGTTAAGAGGACTCTGGCCATACTTCTTTCAGGACAGATCCGCTTGTCCTTTGAGCTTTCCCTGGTACTTTCAACCATCTCCAGCACCACAATCCAAATGCATCAATTCTCCTTTGGTCTTCCTTGTTCAATGTCCAACTTTCACATGAAATTACAGTCTTAGAAACCCTGTATCAGGTTTCTGTGAGTCAGAATTAACAGTGGTTTATCATATTATAAATCAGCTCTTAGAAGTAAATAGAGCAATGGACTTAAATTGGCAGACTAGCTACTTATTTGACCTTGGAGAACATGTTTATAAAAATGCTTTGTAAACACCCAAGTGTTTATATTCATCTGTTCACTCAACAACGATTTATGGAGCACCTTTTATTTGCTATGCCAGCTGTAGAAAGATAAACAATGAGAAAGGCAATATCATGATAAATGCTAAGTAGAAGTCCAATATAGGATGAAAACGTAACATGGCAAGTCGGTGATGCAGAGTCTGCCTCACAAAACCTACTTTAAACTGCAGTCTAAATTGTATGCAGATGTGAGACAAGGCAGGTGATAGAGGGAGGAAATAGAGAGAGGAATTGGCAAGGAAAAGAGGTTTTAGTGGAGGGCCCTGCACATTAGGAAGAGTCTGTACATTAAAAAACGAAACAGACAGAATGAAAGATGAACAAGGGATTCTGGAGGTGATGTTAGGTGAAGGTAAAATTGAATATGAGGTTCAGATCATGGAGAACTTGAAGTCTCCATTAAGATGTTTGGACTTTATTTTTTTAAACAGTGAGGAACACGTTAAAAGATTCCATTTCATGTAAGAGGTGAATAGCATCGCCAGATTTTGAGTTGTAGCTTTCCAAGATCTTTTCGTAACATATGATGGTAGCTTGCACTTAGAGTGGTAATGAAGGAGATGGGGAATAAGGATGGATTGGAGAAATTCCTGGCCAGTAGACCATAACATTTTAAAGACTGCTAGTTTTTAGAGTTGAATTTGAATGGCATCAAATGCTTTGCTTAATTTTCTTTGCATTCCACCGGGAGAAATGGTGCTATTTATTGCTGAGACAGGGAAAAATGAGGAGAGAAGTTCAACAGTGCTAACCAAATAATTGCAGTTTTGTTTGGTATTTCTGGGAGAAACCAAAACAAAAGACCTACTGTCATAGGGCTGATTGCAACCCCTGGCAACCCTATACAAGATTTCTGAGGCTATAAATCTTTACAAGAGTAGATGATCTCATCTTTAATCCCAGGAGCGGCTGGTGGGTTTGAACTGCCCACCTTTCAGTTAGCATTTCAAAGCTTACCTGACACTGTCACCATAAAACAAGTGCCTTTGAATCATCATCAGCTCCATGAATCTTCAACAATCTGTACAAACAACTAGAACCTAGAAGACATGGCCAGGCTGCGAGATAAATCAGGGAGTTGTTGGTTTATGGATTGTCATTAAAGACTGAAAGCGAATAAACTCACCTAAACAAAGAGCTCAAAGAAAAATTGTTCCCAGAACGGAGCCCCAAGGAACTCGCATTTAAAACTGCAGATAAAAAAGCTTACCCTCGGAAGAACAAGATGGCACTACCACCAACCGTTCACATCAGGCCCGTGATACATAGACTTAGGAACCCTCCTCTACTGCTATTGTGCCAATTCCGACTCACAGCAAACCTACACAGGGTTTTCCAAGGCTTTAGATTGTGCTAAGAGTTGCATGCGTCCCCAATAAAATGATTTAAAAAACCCTTTATGGGACCAGATAGTCTCATCATTCTCCTATGGACACAACCTGACCACAAAGAAGACTTAGGCCACAAAAGGGGAAAGGGTAGCCACGTAAAAATGGAAGACAACGAGATTATAGTCTTGCAAAAGTCCAAGACAGCATTTTTGCAGGCTATTGGAGAAGTCTGAAGAATATAGGAAAGAATATAGGAAAATGACCTATGAAGAATATAGGAAAATGACGTTTGGATGGAGTAATTTGGTGGTGTTTGGATGGAGTAAATTGGTGAAGTGGTGAGCTCAGATGTTAGAGAAGATTGAAAAAGGAGCCAGTAGGTCAGGATGTCAAAGCAAGTAGTGAATTTGGCACCTGCTATGATTGTGTCTAGGGGTTCTTGGTCTCTCCAACTGACCAACGGACGGACGCAGAGACCACAAATGCAAACAGGAAGCCATTTAATTTGGAAAAGAAAGGAAGACTCCGGGTGCAGTAAGTGGGAACTCGATGAGTTCCCAATGAATGAACTGTGTTTGCCTCAAATGCTCAGTAGCCTGCTTCGGAAGCAGATTTGAACGAACATTTTACTTTCAACCTTGTATTTTCTACCTTAAAAGTAGGTAGGAGTTAATACTTAACAATGGTGTACCCTGGCATTTTTTCAGATGATTCAAGTTGTTCAAATGCCCTATAACCCCACAAACAATCTGTTCTCATTGCAAGTGAGAAAGGGGAGATCAGCAAAACACGAGCGGGTCGAATTGAATCACCTTGCTTCCTTTCATGGGGTGGCGGGTACTCGCGGGGCTACGGTCTGTACGTTTTGCACTCGAAAACAGTAGCTCTGCGGGAGGAAGACTTACTTACGGGCTGTCTCCTCCTGTCAACGGTTACAGTCTCAGAAACCCCTGGGGTTCGCTGTGAGTCAGCACAGAGGGTCACTGTGAGCCACAACGGACGCAGTGATGGCAATGAAGTTGACGTGGGGGGTGATGGACGTTAAAGGAGACCTGGTAGTGTCCGGGGCTATTCTTGAAGCTGCCAACTGCAGGGACAGCAGTTTGAAACTCCTGCCTGCTCTACGGGAGAAATGTGAAGTTTTCTACGCCCATCAAGAGCTGGAGTCTAGGAAACCCACCAGTACAGCTTTACTGTGTCCTGCAGTGTGACTGCGAGTCTGACTCAACTCAATGGCAGTGAGCTTGGATTTTTGGTAGTGCAAGTTTAGAAGCTTGGGTGGCAACGTCTGGTGATCTTTAACCATCGGAAGTTTGCCATTCAAACCCATCAGCCGCTCCTCAGAGAAAGATGAAGCTGTTTGCACTGCGAAGATCTAGAGTTCTGAAAATCCTCAAGGTCAGTTCTAGTCTCTCTTGTAAGGTCACTATGAATCAGAAGTGATTCTATGACATTGAGTTTGGATTTTTGAGTTCATGATGGAAGTATTTTACTAGATGCATGACCTTGGTATAATAATATCCAAACCTTAATCACTCCATTAAATGATCCCAAATTTAAACCCACTGCTCTCAAGTCAACTGTGAGTCAGAACCACCCTAGTTTCTGAGACTGTAGACTCTGGCAATTTAGGAGAACAGTGCCTGGTACACCGTAAACTGTCAATCACTAGTGATTGCTGCTACTATTATTAAGATTTTCAACTTCATATTTAAAATTTTAAATATTATTGTGCTCTTCCACTCCTTACTTTCTAACTTCTTCATCCTTTCTTGTTTTTAATCCCTAGCATTTATCATTATATGGCCTGTGTGTATTTATTTTCTGAATTTTCTCCAGTGTATGCACTCATTGACATAAGGTACTATGTTTTATTAACTGTTGTATCCCCAGTGCCTAGGACATAGTTCAAAGGGACTCAGTAAATGTTTGTTGAAATAATTCGTGATAGATACATATGCTTACATGCATGGAGATGTCCTTCATTAATGTGCCCTGCACTCCACAGTTTAAAACCCAAGTGTTTTTATTATTACTATGTCTTGTAACCATGCACAATCCTTCCTTTTTCCTCTCCAGGCATGGAATTCAACTTGCCCAAACTGGCTGACAGCAATGACTGCCCTGGAAAAGTACTACCTTTCCATTTTTTATGGCACTGAGTTCATTTTGGGAATCCTGGGAAACACTACTGTGGTTTTTGGCTACCTCTTCTGTCTGAAGAACTGGAATAGCAACAATGTCTATCTCTTTAACCTCTCTATCTCTGATTTGGCGTTTTTATGCACCCTCCCGATGCTGATGAGAAGCTATGCCAAAGAAGACTGGCTCTATGGGCATGCTCTCTGCATAAGTAACCGATATGTGCTTCATGCCAACCTCTACACGAGCATTCTTTTCCTTACTTGTGTTAGCATTGATCGATACCTGCTCATGAAGCATCCTTTCCGGCAACACCTTCTGCAAAAGAAGGAGTTTGCCATTTTAATCTCCTTAGCTATTTGGGTCTTGGTAACCCTCGAGCTACTGCCCATACTTAACTTTATAACTTCGTTGAAAATGGATAATAACACCAAGTGTAATGATTATGCAAGTTCTGGGAACCCCAAACACAGTCTCATTTATAGTTTGTGTCTAACATGTACAGGGTTCCTCATTCCTCTTTCTGTAATGTGCTTCTTTTACTTCAAGATTGCCCTCTTCCTAAAGAAGAGGAACAGGCAGCTGACTACCACACAGCCCTTTGAAAAGCCTCTCACTTTAGTCACCATGGCAATGATCATCTTCTCAGTGCTCTTTACACCTTACCACATAATGCGGAATGTTAGGATTGCCTCCCGTCTAGAAGGCTGGACTTTGTCCCCGTGTACGAGGGACATCATCAATGTTTTATATATTGTGACACGACCTTTGGCTTTCCTGAACAGTGTCATCAACCCTGTCTTCTATTTCCTTGTGGGAGATCACTTCAGGGAAATGTTGATAAATAAACTGAGACACAAATTCAAATTCCTTACAACCATAAGAAGATGAGATCCTGGAATAATGTTTTCATGAAGGCAAAAGTGGGCGCTCGGGAAACCGATTGTTGTGTACATCCATCAATAAGCCAGTGAGAGTTTATTTTCACTTACAAACAGATCAGAAAAGACCACAGATTTGTCTCTGATTTGAAGATATGGACCCGGAATATGTGAAAAGAGGTGAATAAGAAGAATTTGTTCTTTTCTTCACCCTGAGAAGACTTGGACCAGCAATGCCTGAGGTTTAGGCATTTAAGTCCAAAATTTATAGGAGGTCTTATAGGAACTTCTCAAACAATAAAGAAGGAAAGGATAGGAGAAACAGCAAATTGTCTGTAGTTAGTCATTGACCAGTCTGTTTAAAATCACATGCTGTCAGTGTTCTTTGTTCTCCAAAATCATGTGATCTGAAATTTTATGACAGAGCTAATGACAGAAGATAATTCATGAGGCAGAAAGAAATAGAATTACTTCAATAAAATATCTTTACACTGTCCCTTTAAGTGGAACATTAATAGGCTCAATATTTTAATTTATCATGTCTTTCTTATTGTATGGTTATAGTGTAAAGAACTGTATCAAATAAAACCTAAAGAGTGTCAAGCTCTTACGGAATTTAGGTGCAAATGATTTTATCAATTTCTTGGACACAAAGAGTCCCTAGGTGGCACACTTGGCTAAGCGCTTAAATACTAAATCAAAAGGTTGGTGTTTCAGAACCAACCAGAGTATCCTGGGAAGAATGGCAAGCCACATGCTTCTGAAAGGTCATAGTTTTGAAAACCCCGTCAAATAGTTGTGCAGTGCACGCATGGGATCCTCATGACTCAGTGGCAATGGGTTTGAATCAACCCAACAGCAAGGGATTTGAAGCTGTATTAAAAAATATCCTCAACAGAGATACTGAGAATAGTTGCAAAAATATCAGATTTATGGAACACAAAAGAGCTTGTTACAAGACTCAAACAAAACCGGAGTGCACTGCTTTTATAATGATACTGCTATCTTGCATTTTATTATCACAATTTCATCACTAGTTAATGGAAATACATTAGACTTTCTTGGCCTGGGTCTTCTTGATATAAATAACAACATTTCAAATACATCAATACCATAAAAACAACCAAGAAGCAATTCAATGCTGATCTCAAACCTCGTGGTGCTAATTTGCCCTTGTTATGGGCAGTCACGGGTCCGCTCTCTTCTCCCCCCTGTGAGTACTAGACAACGGCTTCATAGAGAGAACACCGCGATTTGAAGTGCTTGTTTTTGCATAGCACTACATATGAATATTGAAGGGAATGTTCTCAAAAAATGGCACTTTCTGAAATCATAGACATCTAGGGAAGATTTGTGTGTACAACAAGAGAGGCTCACCCAAGAGGGGTAGTAAGGATCCATTCCATGCCACAAAACTAATTTAGGGGAAAATGATTGGGTTTGTCATTAACTTTTAAAGTTAAACAAGTATTATATTGCAATTTATTTATTTATGTGCAATGACATGTATCCATGGTTAATGCATATGTTTCTTTCCTTGATGTCATTAGTTGTGATAAAATAAACATCATGAGGCACAGAGAAATATTATCCCTTTGTCCTTCCTACTCCTGTATCTCAGAGCATCCTGAGATACTCTGGTGGTGTACAGTCTGAGAGTACAAACTCCCCAAAGACAGTAGTGTTTCTAGAGTTTAGGTAAATGAGGTTTTATAAAGGCAATTTGTACACAGATGAATTATTTTCTTACTTGGAACTGGGCTTTAAAATATTCTTGCTAAGCTGTGCCTTTTATTATCAGCATTTAAAAAAATCTATGTACTTAATAATTGCCTTGTAATAGAAAAGCTAATCTCTTGAATAAACTCACTGAAAGAGGCAACAGAAAAATTTCTAGCAAAGAAGGATTTGGCATTTTTACAATTTTAATGATAATGGAACTTAATTTTTAATTTTATAAAGAAATTTTAACTTGTGAAGGTGAATTTAAAGTTGCCTCTTCCAGGGGTGCCAAAGGTGAACTCTTTCTAACAAGGCAGTAAAATATTTCATCAAACCATAAATTCTTACATATGTCTTGTAACCAAAAATTTTATTTTTAATCATTTTATTGGGGGCTGGTACAACTCTTATCACAATCAATATGTACATCCATTGGGTCAAGCACATTTGTACGTTGGTTGGCATTGTCATTTTTAAAACATTTTCTTTCTACTTGAGCCCTTGGTATCAGCTTCTCAGTTTTTTGCCCTGTAACCACAAAATTATGTAATCATATAGCATATTTTTAATTCTTTTCTTTCTCACATCTGCCTTGTAGTGACTCATAACAGACTAGAGGAACCTGCACTAAATGTATAAAAGCTATTGCATTTGTTTCCTATTCTACATGATGTAAGGCTCACCAGCAATAAAGAAGTCTTCTGTGTATTTTTTAAAAATAACAATATTTTTATATCTTGTCTCTAAATTGAGTCTCTGGTGCTTTGCATAGGAAGCATAAACTATTTGATCTTCAGTAAAAGCCTCTTGAAACTCACCTACCCATTTTCTTATTTTACTTCCCCTTACTGTAGCTACACTTATACCTTCCTGTCAAAGATCGCTACTCCATTCACTGTCTATGGAAAACATCATTCACTCCGTGCCTGTGCACTAGATTCTTGCCTCTAGTTCGTCATGCCTACATGCACAGACTCTGAGCATCTTTGCATGTGTATCTCATCTGGTACTCCTTAAGTTTTCCCTTCTATCTTGCCCTCCAAAAACCTGGAAATAAAGCATTCCACTTCTCTAAAGTACAGGTATTGTTTTCTTAATGGATTGTTTTTATCTTGTATTTGATTTTTAATTAAAATTAACTTCTAGTCTCTAAGATGAAAAATCCTATCGTTAAAATATTTTTCATAGATCTAGTGAGGTGCTCTTTAAATGACATTTACGATGAGTGAATATGCTACAGAGCAAACCTGAATCCACTGTCTTGAATATACATAATCAAGCTACATTCTGTGACTAATACGTTCATAAGAAATATTACTTTATTTAATGTTGTATATATGTTAACTCTCATGGACCCATCCCTCATATTTTTCAATACTTTGAGTATAGTTTTTTGAATGCTAAACATTTTTTGCCAGCTCTTTCTAAAGCAAGGTCATCTCAAGGTTTCTCTCCACTTGTTGCCCTTTTTCTTTAGGATAGCCACATTTTTCTGCTTACTCATATGCTTAGGGAATTTGGATTGTATTCTAGACATTATGATTAATATGTTACAAAACTCTGAATTCTGTTATGTTCCAGCAAAGAACAATCTTAGTCTTTTGCCTCATAGCTTAACTCAGCTCCAAAGTCTGCAAGCTGAATTGGGCTTTTTGGTTGCTGTTATTCTCAAAGCTTGGCCGTGTGACATCTACCCTGCGTGTTCACAGTGCACGGGTCAGTCAGAGAGTTGAGTGGAGTTGATGCATGATTTGCAGCTCCTTCTTTGTGGCTCTCTATTTTGCCAATAACGTCCCCCCTTTGCTGCTGTGTCTACCCTGAACATATCCTTTGAGTCTTCAAGTCAGGGGGGCTTTAGGTTTCTCCCTGTATTTGAGCAATCCTGCATTTGAATTATTTTACAGGCACATGCCCCGATAAAAAGCCATTAAAAAGTAAACGGAAATAACACCCAATGTTTTCCATTACATCAACAGATTCTCCCTGTCTCTGACTTCTTTCTGTCCGTTTCAGGGCCTTCAAGTTGTTCCCATTCTACTAAAGTTGAAAACTGTTAGTTGCAGGAAGTTGATTGAGTACATTACTAGGAAGAACCAGAAGAAAAACCTCTTTCTCCTTAGAAGGAAATCAACTTAAATAACAATAAACTGCAAACCCTAATAGTTTAAATTTCCATCAAAGTTTCAAAAACTTTTAAAGGATTACTTGCCCATCTTTTATCTCTAGCCTCTAAATTCATTCACAATAGTTTTATTTTCCCATATACGAATCTAGATTTTAATCATCTGTGCAATAATATCCAACCAAAAAGTGCTCTTAACACACTTATTCACTGATGTTTAATATCTACTGTTCTTTTAGGGTGGAAAAAAGTGGAGGCTTTCTACTCTTATAAAGAGTTATAGTCTCAGAAGCCCACGGGGTCCATCCTCAGTGGCAAGTGAGTTCATGCCTATCAGGAAAAGGTGTTCTGGTGGGCTGTCAGGGTAAGTGTTGAACTGATAATAGTAAGGCGAGTAGTTCAAATCCACCAGCGGTTCCAAGGGGAAAGAAGAGACTGTCTGGACCAGTAAAGATTTTCAAAGCCTTGAACACCCATTGCTATGAGTTAGAATAGAGTCAATGGCTGTGTGTTCTCTCTCTCTCGTTCTCTTCTCCATGTATCTACGTGTGTTGGGTCTTTTATTTCAGAAAATGAAGGTAGACAACGAAGTACAGAATACTAGACAAAGCACAACAGTGCTGAAAATTCAAGTGTTCAGGCCAGATAGGTAGATGATAAATAAATAGATAGATAGATAGATAGATAGATAGATAGATAGATAGATAGATAGATAGATAAATTCCTATGAGTTTCACTGAAATTGTGTTTTGTACAAGTGACATAACAAGAAAAGTCGTGTTCTATATTTCTCCTTTAGCATGTAATACATGCTACTTTTGTACCACAAGAGAAATATACAAAGACAGAAAAAAATGTTACTTAACAAATACCTTTACAAACATGGATCATAAACTGCATTTATTTATGGAATGTGGCCAAAAAACATGAGCACAAATGGAATCATTGGGGTTGAGTAGAAGGTTTTGAATATCTTCAGTATTCAAATACTCAACCTGTGCCCCCCGTTATGCATTGTGCAGTATGTGTGAAATAAAAGCTTCTCAAACTAATTTTCAGTAACGTCTTGCTACCTCTTATGATGCTATCAGAATTCATTACTAAGATGGTAACTTTGTTCCTAGCCTGGACCCCTCTCATATCTTTCTACTACCTCTCACTGTCATTAGCTTGTCACATACTCAATCAGCCATTTAAATACCATAGCTATTAATGATAAGATCATACACATCAGGATATAGACTTAACCTGTATATATGTGTGTTCTATAGATGTACATTTATACATGTATGGTTTAAATAAATAAGAACATCAATGCTTGCTTTTTCAGACTTGTCTACCATCATGAAAAGGACATTTTTCTTGCCTTATGTGAACATGTTTCTCAGTTGTCAGATCTATGACTAGATGAATGTGCTCAAATGAATGGGAAGTTCCATTCTGGTGCTGGTCTCATAGCCATGTTTCAATCTAGCATGACCAGAAACAAATCAGATGCTTCTACTTCCAATTTCTATGGTTTCTTCTATGAATACTCAGTTTGTCAGTGCACTCGTGGGTAACACATATGATTGGTTGGGGTTTGAGTTAGTTAATTGTGCCAGCCTGGCCAATAATCACATGTGATGCTGGTTGAAAGGCGAGGGATAAATGGGTGGTGAGCCTCGCCTTTCTAGTTCTCGGGTCTCTTGTTTTGTGATGGTTGTATCGGGTGCAGCTGCCTTAGCAGTTCCCTGCTTCAGCTTGCAAGATTGACTTCCTACAAGACATCCCCAAGGAGAAGCCTCATGGACCTATCCCGATGCAGCCCTGGGTGCTGGAGCAGCCGTGTGGAGACCCCTGCCAGTGCTGAGATGCTTACACGTTCACTGACTCAGCTTTCCTCCTGCAGTCGGCATTATTGCCTCTGTTTTGTGAGGTGAAGGACTTTGTGGACTGGTGTTGGGTATGGGTTAATGTTGGACTTGTGGGCTTGGGCAGCATTGGGTTGGGATGTTTTCGTGATGCACATTTTCTTTGTATAAAACTCTCTCTTTTACATGAGTCACTGTGGATTTGTTTCTCCAAAGTACCTAGACTAATACAGGGTTCAAAGCTCAAACCTCAAACAACACTTTCAGCACAACTTTAACAACATCAGACACTCAGATGGTAGTTAAAATGTACCAAGTCACTTTTCTAGAACTTTTTACATTTCAACCTATTCAACCGTCACCAAAACATGTGAAGTCATGGAGAGTCTAATCACTTGTCCAAGATGGCGTAGCCAAAGAATTGTGGAACCATTTTCCTCAGAGTCCTCATATTCTTCACCACCGTGCTCTGAACCAACTTGTAGTACGCCACAATTACATGAGAGTTGCATAGTTTAAGGCCATTTTTGTATCACATCTAAGGGGCTTATGTTACAGTTTCCAAACTGAAACCAAACTCACTGCCGTTGAGTCCATGCCAACTCTTAGCGGCCCTATAGGACAGGGTAAAATTGCCCTTGTGAGTTTCCAAGACTGTGACTCTTTACGGGAGTTGAAAGCCCCATCTTCTCCCCTGGGATGGTTGGTGTTTTCAGACTGTTGACCTGGTAGTTAACAGCGCAATGCATAACCACTATGCCACCAGGTCCTTCATCTTATAGTTTCACACACAATTTTATCTCATTCTCAGAACACAGTTCCAGGGAAATGATGACAGGAGAAGGACTTTTAGAATAGGGTGTTGGATCCCACTTACATCTGGTTGGCACATAAAGTTATTGAATTGCTTTTTAATCTTGAATTTAGTTATATGATATGGGAATCCTTGGATAATGTTTTCATAAGATTCAATAAAACAGAATTGATCAATTCTCTATTAGATAAATAAACTGAACCAAAATTTCTGTAAATATTTTCAATGGGCAGAGTGCTTATAGAAAACCAGATTATTTAGCAATGCCGTATAAAACATATGACACAGAAACCTGTGTTCTTGTGAAACAGAATGAGTGATTAATAGACATATTTTATCTAAATTCTAATGATATGGAAAATATCTACTTAGGAAGTTGAGGCTTTGGTAATTCTCTGATACTTATTCTTGCATTAACCCCAAAATGCTGATGAAGAAAAAGGCAACTGTCAAAATGAAGACTGCGGCCTTGGTCTACTTGATCCCGAAGATGAACTCTCCATGACAAACGCCTTTGAACTTTCCATGCAAATTGGCAGTGTGCTCCTGTTCAATATTGTAGGGAGGCTCACTTACTTTAATAGTAAGAATATTTATTTGCCTGATGCTTAAACATGACCATTTATGATACTTTTCATATTTCACTTAAATCCAAGGGTATCAATGCTTGTAATATATATTATACCAGAGTGTGCCTCTCACATAAAGGAAGGGAATAATGAACAAGCTGTACAAAAATATTCATTTGCGTATATTAATTCATTAGTTTATTTCGGACCTTTGTAATACTGCCTGTGTTATTTCTGAAGTGTTCATGAGGAAGTAGGTTTAGATGTGCTTAGTAAGGAAGGCTCCAAAGTAAATGTCAGGGTTAGGACTTCAGCCTATGTCTAGCTGACTCCAGAGAAATATGAATTCTCCATGACGCTGTCCTTTGATTGAAGTCTAGGTGATGATCCAAAATTTGAATCTTCTAGGATATAAACAGGAAAGTTAATTATATGCTATTTGTGGTATATAATTTTCAATAGACAAGCACAGGTTTAGGTATGAGAGATCTTAAAACATTTTTCTGAGCAAAATGTAGATTCCTTTATATCTTATTTTGAGAATGGAATGTGAAATTTACTTGATTAATAATAACTTCAAAGCTTTTCATCCAAAATGTATAAAGTTAAAATATGGATTACAGCGTCGTTATAAAAAGCATATATTCAAAACAATTTGGGGCAAACTTTTCAAATATTATCATAGGGGAAAGAAGGGATCCATTCTTAGCAGTTACAGATTTTTCAACTTGAATTTACATTGTGAACACTTCCCGTGGTTTTCAACAGTTCAAAATTAAGCAATACGCATTTTAGTGTGCTAGAAAATTTACATGTTGAACAAGTATATGTATATGTATACGAATAGGTAGATGTAGATGTAATCAACTGAGACCCTGGTGCTTGGTCTCATTGTATCCAAAGTCAAAATAATCATCTTGGTTGAGAAAGCATGAAGCAGAGCAGCAAGACATTTAAGTAGATGGTGCGGGTTAAGAACAGGGACTCCAAACTAACCGAGTCTGTGACTTTATGGGAGGAGAAAGACACTGCTTTCATCAATGGAGAAATGGCTCTTAGACTGGCAATTTCAAGGAGACCATTGCCCGTCTTCAACAGAGAAGACGGGCGATTCAAAATATGGCACAATGTGGGTCACATGAACTTTTCTTGTGACCCAAACACCACAGATTCAGGTCTGAGTTCAGTAAAGAAGAGTGCATGGAAGATAATTACAAAAGAAACATTTAAGTAAAAGTAAAATAATGCAAGGTTCTCCCATTCTTGATTTCAAAACAAAAGATGTGTTTAATTGTTGAAACCCAAATGATAAACACGCCAGTGGCATTAACAGTGGGTTTATAAGAACTTACGGTTTTTGATCGAAGTGGAAATGCCCTTTAGGAGCAGATTAGTCAGAACACTTGTATTTGGGAATCCCAGCAAGACATCATGGAAAAGAATCTGAAACAGAATAGAGAATGGTAACATGAGCAAATAAAATAAACATATATGAGACACCTATGAGGGGGCTTCAAAATATCTGTGGTAAATAAAATTCATTTTCATGAAAAGATAATGAGTTTTCCCCATGATTTTTTTGAAGTCCCTCAGTACTGCTGGTTTCATATAAATATGCAATGGGGCAGGGTTTTTTAAAAAGTTGTATAGCTAGAACATCACAAAGAAAGTAGAAATATTCTATGAATCCATTTATGCTTCTAAGTTAGTGAGACTACACAAAGTTTTTTTATATCTACCTAAACCTACTAAATATAAAGGAAATCATATGCACACTTAGCACATTCAACAAGGAAAGCTCATTCTTTAAAACATGCAGACATTTAGTTTCTATCTCATGTTTACTTGGTAAACTTTGTCTTTATTAATGGTTGGTGAGACTCGTAATAAACGACTGAGCTGTGATTGGAATGAAAATCATATTTTGTAAATAGGTAGATTATATAACAGGTTGCACTTCTATAATAAATCTACTTTCTCAACAAATACTCACTGAGAACTCCGTGTTTGCCAGTAAACACGTGGCACGTCAGTCTACGAATGACAAATATTTCCTGTCTTGTAGGGTGACAAAAGGAAGGCACACAAAGAGGCATACATAAAGTGGTAAGGGTAGAAATAGATATGAGCCCAGGCTGATACAAGTGTAAGGAAGAGAGTCAAAGCCACCTTAACAGGTTAGGGAGTGACTTGCATGTGATGATAACCTTGCTGAGGGCGGGCATCAGGGAGCAGTGCAGCGCAGTGGGGGAGGTGTGATTCAAAGGCCTGTGCCTAACGTGTCTGTAACAAATAAAGGAGCAGCTCTCATGTAGGTAGACATTTTTAGATAAGATAGTTAGTGCTTTTCTGACCATAAAGTGACGTGGAGTGTGTATAATACTGTTGAAATGTAATGTAGCATACAGAGAGCCAGTCAAGAGTTTCCAAACTAGGATTTCCCCCAAAGTTGTTATTATGCGACTAGCGGTGCAGTTAAAACACTTGCTGTTAACTGAAAGTTGTTGGTTCAAGACTACCCAGAGGCATATTAGAAGAAAGGCCCAGCTCTCTACTTCTTCACAATCACCTACTGAAAATCCTGTGGCCCCCAAGTTCTTCTCTGGAGCATTTGAGAGGGTCATGAGTTAGCATTTACTTAACATCAACTAGTTTGGTTTGCTTTTAAGCACAAACCAAAAATAAAATGCAGCAACCAGTTAAATAGGGATCCCTGCTGGTGCAGGGGGTTTTACGTGGGCTGCTAACCACAATGCCAGCATTTCCAAACCACCAACTGTTTTGAGAGAGAAAGAGGCTTCCTGCTCTGGTCAAGATGCATCATCTTTGAAATCTCAAAGAAGAGTTCGACTCTGGCTGCTGGCAGTCAGAATTGGCTCCGTGTCAGTGAGTTAGAGGTAAGAACTAACTAATGAATTTTACACAATTGGCCCTACCCTCTTACACTTTTGTGCCGTCTATATTTTTCCTTACAGAACAAATGGTCTGAGTGCCAAGTCTGACCTCTTCTGGCTACACAATGGAAGAGATGGCACACCAGCCCAGCCATTGTCACGATGCAGACGTCAAACAGCCTCCACCATCCAACTTCCGTAAGCCAGTCTGACATCCACTGTCCCTCCTATGACATTTGATGTTTTTGATGGGCTGAGTACTCCATTGTAATCAGAACAATATTCAAAATTATAGGATTTATTAAGAAAGTGAACAGATTACAAAATATTGAAGATACAATTTGTTGTCCACAACGCCTCTTATTAGCCATGTTCGTCCACATGTCTCTTTCTGGTTTTCAGCCTCTTATCCAAGTGGGTCCTTGGCCTCTGCCTTGTTTCCTAGAAAATGGGTGCTTTACCCATTGATCTCCCTCACTATTGAGGCTCCTCTGCTCTGCATTGTTCTTTCAGTCCGGCTCCTCTGCTCTGTCCAATGCTTCACTTCTGCTCAACTCAGCTCTCTCCCATGCTTGGACCTCTGGTGCCTCCCTCAGCTGCTTTGGACAGAGATCTTTGCAAGCACTCTACTGGGGGTTTCTGTTTCTGCTTCTAAGATGACTCTCATACCCAGAAGGGTGCCAAAATGAACGAATTTCATCTATTAGTGTTTCACACAAGCTATTTGTAAGATTTCACCCAATAATTCGGTGGGAGTTACAAAGACATAGATAGAAGAGTTAAATTTAAGCAATTGCACTTTATAATCGTTTTTAATTGGTATTTTAATTCATAACTGTAAGCATTCTTGCTGAGGTTGAACTAATAAGACATATACAAGTTTTCCCTTGCTATCTTAGACTGGCTTGTCTAGAGAAGCAAAAAAACAGTGAGGCTTATACATACACATAAAGAGACATGTTTATAACACGCAAATGACTGATACAATTAGGGAAGTGGGTAAGTTCCAAGCCCCTGGGTCAGATGTCACACTTCAGGCTCTCATGATTCACGTAGCTGCCTGGGCTGATGTAAAGATACAACTAATCGACTCACAATGTTTCTTCATAGGCATGCTTGTCGGAATGTCTCTCTGGCTACAGGAATGAATGAACCCAATTTAATAGGTAAACTAGCAAGCTCTTGATGCTTCCTAGGATTATCAGGCAATGTGGCAGGCCACTGATTCAAGTTCAAAGAGCCTGAGGTCAGATGATGAGCCATATGTAGGGCCTAAACCCAGAATAAGTAAGCAAGCTTTTCCACAGTATTCATTTTTATTGGAAACAGGCAAATTCCCTGAGAAAACAAGTTTTCAAATGATTTTCTGTTCATAATAGATTTCATCATGGTGAGCACCTATTAGAGTTCATCAATAAGGACTACTACATCTTACGTACAAAGCTACTGAAAAGACCGGCCCATCCAAGTTGCCACAAAGCCCTGATACCACAATTGTTGTGCTGTGTACCCTTATGTGCAGGTGCGTTTGGGGGCCCAAAACTGAGTTGGCTATCTTCAACAGAGTCGGACACTTCTCTCAGAAATGTACAAAGGTAAAGCAACAAGTGTTGTTACTAGGATTTCAGTTTATAAAGACACTTGTATATTCCAAACAAAATGCATTTTTCCAATCAGTGGTTACCTGCAACGTGTTCTCTCAGTGATATGCTTGGTTTTGTCTCCTTATGGTGCCTTCAAAAGGGGTATTCAACCAAAATGGTGGCTTGTGAGTAGATTGGCTGGGTCAGTGAAATTCAAAGCAGAGAAGTTATTTCAGACGGTTGTGGCAACGGCTTTGGGAGATTCCAAAGGGGTAGTATTGATAGATTTTTTCCAACAGTCACAGGATGATCATGGGGGCTTGTTAAGAAGAAATGTTTGTAACACAAATCCTAGAAAAATTGTGCCGAGGTAATTTTTTCCCCATCATGACAATGAATCTGCTTAAAGAATATTTCGAGAAGAACTAGAGGAAAGTTATGTGTTTCATTGGTGCTATGCTGCACCCTGACTGGCTCATCTCTTCCCTGTGACCCTTCTGTAAGGGGATGTCCAATTGTCTACAGATGGACTTTGGGTCTCCACTCTGTACTCCCCCTCATTTACATTGATATGATTTTTTGTTCTGGGTCTTTGATGCCTGATACCTGATCCCATCGACACTTCATGATCACACAGGCTGGTGTGCTTCTCCCATGTGGATTTTTTTACTTCTCAGCTAGATGGCTGCTTGTTTATCTTCAGGCCTTTACAAACCAAGACACTATATCTTTTGATAGCCGTGCACCATCAGCTTTTTTCTATGCACCCATTTTGTCTTTGGTGATCATTTTAAGGAGGTGAGCATCACAGAATATCAGGTTATTAGAACAAAGTTTTCTTGCATTGAGAGAGTACTTGAATATAGGCCCAATGTCCATCTGCTACCTTGAAACTTAATAATTAAATATATGGACATAGATCTATTTCCCTATTGTTATATTTAAACATATTACATATGCACAGCCCTGCAATTTAGACCTCTATAAATGCCCGTTGCCTCCTAGTTCTTTCCTCTATTTCCTTTTACTTTCCTCTTGTCCCTCTATCATGTTCGGCCTTCATTCTGGTTTCAGTAATTCCTCTCCATTACATTGCCCTTGATCAAGCCCTACCAGGCATCCTATGTCCTCCTCACCATCAATTTTAGATCACTTGTTTCCTTATCCCTGAGTTTGTTAACACCCACTTCCTTTCCCCACCTCTCCCATGTCTCCCCGGAACCACTGGTCACGTTTGCTCCTCTGGATTGTTTATCCCACCTGTGTTATCTACAGAGACATGCATAGACCATAATCAGCACAAACACAAGGCAGAGCTTTGTTCTTTAACGCTTTCTCCGAACCCTCACCCACCCCAACTATCATGATCCCAATTCTACCTTACAAATTTGGCTAGACCAGAGCATGTACATAGTTACAGATAGGAACTGGAAACAGGGAACCCAGGACAGATAAACCCCTCAGGACTAACAACGAGAGTAGCCAGGGTAAGCGTAAGGTGTGTGTGGGTGTGTGTGTGTGAGAAATGAGGAATCAATCACAATGATCTACATATAAGCCCTCTCTGGGGGACAGAGAAGAGAAAAGTGGGTGAAGGGAGACATCGGTCAGTGTACGACATGAAATAATAATAATAAATTATCAAGGGTTCATGAGGGACAGAGGGTGTGGGAAAAAGGGGAAAAAATGAGGAGCTTATACCAAGGACTCAAGTAGAATGAAAATGTTTTGAAAATGATGGTGGAAATATACGTACGAATGTGCTTGGCACAATGTATGTATGTATGTATTGATTTAAAGAAAAGAAAAAGAATATTTCGAAGGACCATAATTTGACTCCGTTGAGGATGCCCACTACCATTTAGGCATGGTGTTAAACTGAAGAACACAGACTGCTTCTGGGAAAGGTTAAAGAGATGGAACTCTTGTCCTCAGAGCAATTGAGAAAGAATCGCATCATGTTTCATATTCATGGAATTGTCTTCACAAAACATGAAGCATTTCCTGTTTCCATTACATTCTCTGCTTTCACAGAGATGCTTTCTACTTACCTTCATCAGTAGCATCGCTTCTCTCCTAAACTCCAAGTTTACTGTAGAGCCAACAGTTTGTCTGTCCTCGTGGACTCTACCTCTGACAGCTCTGTTTTTACACCTTTCTGAAGAGTACACTGAATAATAAAGATAGAGTAGATACAGTGACACCTAACAAAGCATATCTAGGCATAAAATAACATGTAACTGATAAAAATACAACATAAATAAAGTAAAACAATAAATAATCTCTATAACATCATATCCTCAAATGGAAATATGAAGTGATTGGATAATTATTGCAACAGAATGAAAGGTAGCTTATGAAATGGTAATTTGATTTTGTAGAGGAGGTGAGGGGAAAGAACATCAGAATTTGTTATTATTTCAATTAGAGCATGAGAATAAACATGAAGGCATATGAGCATTCATTTCAATAAATCAATGAATTAAAAAAAACTGAGTTTGTAAGACTGTCATTGTTTCCTTCTCTTCATGTATTTTATTACGTTTTGTGATGAAAAAATATTTTACTATAATTTGAATGAATGATTATAGAGCAAATTGGTTTCCACTCAACAGGTATTACACTTTTTATTTTGTGACATTAATTGTAGTCTGTACAATTTAAGAGGACTCTTCCCATTTCCCACCACTTGTCTGTCAGCTTGTCTTACTCTGGTGGCTGATGAGTTGCTATAATGCTAGGAGCTATGTCACTGGTATTTCAAATGCCAGTAGAGTCACCCAAAATACACAGGTTTCAGCAGAGCTTCCAACTAAGAACAGATTACTTAGAAAGGATCGGCTGCCCACTTCAGAGGAAGTAGCCACTGAAAACCTTAGGCGCAGCTTCAAAACATTTTCAGATACAGGATGCCTAACAAATGGAAGAAGAACATTGTCAGACAGGGCCAGCGGACAGGCCCATTGGGTCAAAAGGCACTTACAATGTGACTGAGGAGAAGCTGAATTCTCGAGGTGGAATCAACCATGGTGATGTGAACGGAGTAACGCTTTTGACAGCGGAGCCTTGAGGATCTTCATCTGCTGATGGAGTCAAACTCAAGGTAAAAAGAAACAGCTGAAAAAAATCTACTAATAATCGAAACTTGGAAGGTATTATGTATGAATTTAGAAAAATTGGAAGTTGTCAAAAATGAAATGGGATGCATGACGATGGATATCCTAGGTATTAGAGAGCTGAGATGGATTGAGGTCAGCCATTTTGAACCAGAAATCATATGATATACTATGCCTGGAATGACAAAATCAAGG